GCTGCGGCCCTTGCCCGCCTTGCCCCGGCGCGGGTCGCGGCGGCCCTTGCCCGCCTTGCTCCGGCGTGGCTCGGGCGGCCCTTGCCAGCCTTGCTCTGGCGCGGCTCGCGGCGGCCCTTGCTCCTGGGCGCGACGCGTGGTGGAGGTGGCCGTCGGTGTCTGGTCGAGGTGCTGGAGCTCGGCAAGGAGGAGAGAAGAAAGAGATAGAGGAGAGAAGAAAATGCAGGAGGAAGAAGAAACATCTTACATGTGGGTCCCATAGTAAGCTAACGGTCAAACAAAACGGTCAACAAACGGATTGTTTAGGAGCGGGTCCGACCTGTCATAAACCGGTTTAAAATGTTAGCAACGAGGAATTTGGGTTTTTTGAAACAGCGGACCCCTGAGTTGGTAGTTATCAGCGAAAAAAAATATTTGGTAGTTTTTTGAAACTATAGCCTGTAAAGTAGTAGTTTTATGCTATTTACTCAAGAAAAACCCATTGTACCGGGAATGGGCCATGTGCGCACATGTGAGCGTTGATGCAGTGAGCTGTGAGCGTCGAATAGGGATTGTGTGTCAAGTAGCTGATCAACACCGACCGCTCAAAAAAAAAGAGCTGAGCAACACTGCATTACCTTCTTCTGTCAACAGACAACAGTTTTGCGAGCCCTTGACCATGACCAGTCTTCCTTGACAACAATAATGTCCATTTTTCTGTCAAACAATTCTGCGAGCAAGGATTAGAAAACTCCAACCTGATGAACGAGAACGTGCTGTGCAATCTCTGAGCTGACTAATACTGATTCGTGTACGCGTCTAAGACTTATCCGACACCCTTTTTAATTTGCTTATATGACAACACATGGTCAAGCTTGCCCCAAAACCATTTCAGCTCTAATAGTTGTTCCCTTCGACAACCAGTACAATGCCAAATGTTTACTCCTGCAATAGGTGATTGACAGGGTAATGAGCTGAAAATTTCAAGAGCCAGCAACCAGTTGACATTTCCAGCTTCCTCTACGGCTCCCAGGGCCTTAAATACCGGTCCAGGGGCCGACCTTCCCAAAACAAAGCTCAAGCTCAAGGAGATCAATCCGCAACAATGGTTAGGATGTTGGATCTCGCTGCGCCCAGAGGCCTCTCCGCGCCTGGCAATGTTGTGGGCCTAGCTTTCGTCTTCGTGGCCGTCGTCGCGGTCGTGGCTATCGCCGTGTTCAGCTGCGCCGATGTCCCGGACAGGTCCGGTGTGAAGCCTAGACGTCGCCGGCGCCACTGGGGCGGCGGTGGCGGGGGAGGAGGGGGAGGCTGCGGAGGAGGTGGTGGCTGCGGGGGTGGAGGCTGTTAAGGAAGCGCGTCGTGCAGAGCCGTCCTCGACATATATGGGGACTGTGCGTTACAATCTGCTATAACTATTGCACCGCCGTCATATTTGTGTGCCCATGGAAATTTCATGCATATTTTGACTTGCTATGAATATATTTGTACCACGTACCATGTATATATGTGTTTCTTTATACCATTTGGCTTGTCACCTATTGCCCCGTTTTGACGAGCTACCGATGTTTTGAGCACTATCTGTACAAATACTATGTCTATACTGTGCTCGTAACTTTTCTTTATTAAATTATTCGTAATTTTAAGTACTTCTTCATAGCCGGAGGCCGGCCATGAATATGTAGGCGGCATCGCCAAGTGCCAAGTGTTAAGTTGGGTATATGGTAGGGTATTGCTCCAGCAAATGCCCTTTTGGGCTAGGGCCAACAACGACGACTCCCTCCGATGCCGTTTAGCTTGGTGGCTAGATAAAATTGTTTGTGCCCATCGCCTTGTTGTATGTGTATTTTGCTCCTATTTAACCGATCAAATAGGAACAAAAGATGAATGTATACATATTTAAGAATACAAATAGAAAACATAGAAACCCAACAAACAAACAACGTCCAGTAGAAACAATTTCTCACAGTGAAGTGTGTTTCCAACCGAAGAAATCTTTAGTGATGGTTGATGAACTAATTGCCATCCTAGAGCATCCTCCTAAACATGGTGCGGCGGTTCAGTAATCTCGTCCGTGGCTTCCACAACCAGAAGCCTGGTTTGCAGATAATGTTGATGGTGCTATTGATGCAGTAAACTTGGTGTCTGGTTCATGCAATGTCATCCAAAATCATGAAGGAACCTCTCGTGAGGATGTTCTTCACAGCATAAGGGGGTATTGAGATCTTTCAGAGATAAATAAGGGTATTGAGGGCTATTTCGTAGTGGAATTACTTGGTTGCAGGGATGAAGTGGAGGCAGTGATCACAAGATGTTTTAAGAATGTCATTCTACATACTGATTGCTCAAACATTTCACAGTCATGGCATGATGAAAGGAGGATGTCCATGGTCAGCTATTGATCATTGAACGGAAGGAGTTTATGTCATGTCTATATTTAAGCGAACATGCGGGCTCACGCGCTTAAGGGGCGTTCATATGTTGAATACTAGATGGGTTAGGAGCTTCAGAGAAAATCGCCGAAAAAGATTAGGATATGTTGAAATTGTTTCGGAGAGAGAACCGAAAAATTTATATTGAAAATCCTAAAAAAGCGGAGAACCAAAAACATTCCGGAACACCCTAAAAATCCACGGGATGGTTCAAGAAGGTTCCTCAACCATCCCGGAGTTTCTAGAGGAGCCCATGGAGCTGCCAACTAGGATGGTCCAAAGGGTGCGCCCAAGTTGGTGGGGGCCGCTGCCCCCCTTGCCTTGAGGGCAAGTTGGGGGGTGGGTCGCCTCCCAAACCTTTATACTCCCTCCGTTTTTATCTACTTTGCATATTAGGGTGAGTGAAGTCAAACTTCGTAAAGTTTGACCAAATTTATAGAAAAAATATAAATATCTATCATAAAAAATCAACATGATGTGAAAGTACATTCAATAATGAATCTAATGGTATGATTTGTTATTGTATGTGTTAATATTTTTGTTTATATACTTCGTCAAAGTTTACAAAGCTTAGACTTTGACCAAAGCTAATACGTGGACTAAATAAAAACGGAGGGAGTAAATGGATAGGAGGGGCAGCCCCTTGGAACATATCTTTAGGGATTTTTGCATTCATGCCCCTAGTTGGGTTACGCTCGACTGATTTACCTCTAGTTTTCAAACAATTGCGGTTTTGCCTAGCTCACTTCACTCGTCTTGTGTTTTTGCCCTTCCGGGGCGGTTCCAACCAATCACGGTTCGCCACGTGGCGACTGCTCATTGGTCAGAACCGCCCCAGAAGGGCAAAAACACAAGGCGAGTGAAGTGAGTTGGGCAAAACCGCAATTATTGAAAAGCTAGGGGCAAATCAGTCGAGCGTGACCCAACTAGGGGCACCAATACAATTGTCCAAAGAAAAAATCGTACGCCTTGACAGTGTCCTGGACTAGAGGGTGCTAACCAAGTCGGCCCCATCATAGTGGCCCGGGCCGTGGACCCCTGGATCATCAATGAATGGGACACGATTACCATAACCCAAGGCGTACTCAAGATGGAATCCTCTGAAGACTTGGCGCATACTCCAAGACACATCTGAATCTTCGGCATGTTTATCCCTAGATGTAACCGACCTACAAGTAATCCTAGATACCCTCAGCCCTTATATAAGCCGAAGTGGTTTACATCATAGGGTAGAGAATTAGAAATTCACATACGATTTTGAGGTAGATCATCTTGTACTTTGTACTCCAACACAATCAATACAACAAGAGCAAGATGTAGAGTTTTACCTCTTCGAGAGGGTTCGGACCCGGGTAAACATCGTCTCCCTTGTTCATCTCATTACCAACTAGCTAAGATCACTAGCTCGGGACCCCCTACCAGAGATCTGTTAGATTTAACTCCGACATGCCGCAAGGCTACTCCACCCCTAGTTCTCCGGCAATGCTGGATTCTGGAAGGCGAAGCGCTAAGATCGGTGACCTTGTACGCATGCAATCCGGTGGAGAGATCGTGCTTTCGGCGTTTGTTCGAGGGAGAAAATTCTCCCGGCTAGGAGGTTGCAAAATCTAGCTGCGGAAACGATGGTGTTCGAGATATGCCCTAGAGGCAATCATGTATGATGATATTTCCTATGTGTTTATGAATAAAGATAGTCCTTGGAAATTATCAATGATGTGTATCAGCAAGTACGTGACTTGTTTGTGGGACTATGCATTGTATGATGACTGTCCTAAAAGGTTCCTAGTCGAAAGGGTTGTGTGGACGCGCAACCGACTAGACTAGCATATGACACGGTCGATGGCTTGGTCTCACTAGCCATGGAGCATTGGATGTTAACCAGATAATATGGACTCGGAAGGATCTGGTCGGATTCGACGTAGTCGAATCCGAATCGAGATAAGGTCCGAATCTGACAGACCCAACTATGAGACGCAGCGATATGTCATCTGTGAGTCTCTAGTACAACATACGTTCTATGTCCTAAGACCTGAGCTGGCGCATGTACTCGGGATGGTGATAGACCTGCTTTGGGCCGACCAAACGCTACTCCATTACTGGGTAGTTACAAAGGTAGGTTTCGGGCTTGTCCAGACCCATGCTGCGAGACGTGATCGAGCAAGATGGGATTTGCCCTTCTGACCAGGAGAGATATACTCTGGACCCCTCGTGTGATCCGACTAGGATAAGCATGGCCGTGCGACAAGGATTATGAGATAATCCGGATAGTGGTCGGCATCACTGGAACAAGAAAGAGGTCGGGCTAGCACAAGGATGACAATCTCGCCTTGAGTCCGACAACATATATCGTGTGGCAAAGGGAACAGAAGTGTGACATGTTGTATAGGTTCTCCTAACCAGCTTCATAGTCTACTTGGTGTTCGGCATGCCTTGCTAGAGGCCGCTACCAACCGTGTAGTTCGGAGGTGATCCGAACTGCGACCAAGCCGACTTAAACCTAAGGGGTCGCGCGCTTAAGGGAAGGAACCTACGAGGTCGGATCTGAGGACACTGGTCGGATGTGATCCAAACTGTATTCGGATTGTGTCCGAGTAGACTGGTGGGCTTTAGGGTCCATGCCAGGCCCAAGTGTTGAGCCCATGATGGACGCTTATATAAAGTGGAGGTGCGGCACACTCATGCGGCTTATTGCTTCGGCGCCGTCACTAGGGTTTGCATGTGTTGCGAATAGCAACCTCCACTCGCCGCCGGTTGTGTGTTCGGACCTAGCAGTCCGCCGCACGACGTTCCTCCTGCACGCGCGGATACCATTAGAGGTGGTGCACTTGCGCCGCTCTGGCGAACTTGTACGTGGGATCGGACGACCGGCTGTTCGAGGGAGATCGGACGAGGAGGAGACGATCAACGCGGATGCACTGCCTAAACTCTACTTCCGCTGCACGGCATTGCGCGTCTAATGGTAACAAACTGTGATCCATCTCCCGTAGCATGTTCTTGGTTGTTCTGCACGTAGGAATTTTTAATTTGCAGTCGACGCACCCTACCGTAGATCCCAACAGATGGAAATATGCCCTAGAGGCAATAATAAAGTTGTTATTATTATATTTCTTTATTCATGATAAAGGTTTATTATTCATGTTGTAATTAATTGTATTGACCGGAAACTTTAAATACATGTGTGGATACATATACAAATACCGTGTCCCTAGTGAGCCTCTACTAGACTAGCTTGTTGATCAAAGATGGTTCAGGTTTCCTAAACATAGACATGAGTTGTCATTTGATAATGGGATCACATCATTAGGAGAATGATGTGGTGGAGAAGACCCATCTCTTAGCTTAGCATATGATCGCTTAGTTTATTGCTACTTCTTTCTTAATATCAAATACATATTCCTTCGACTATGAGATCATGCAACTCCCGGATACCGGAGGAATACCTTGTGTGCTATCAAACGTCACAACGTAACTGGGTGATCATAAAGATTCTCTACATGTATCTCCGAAGGTGTCTATTGAGTTGGCATGGATCAAGATTAGGATTTGTCA